TATATATATATATATAAAACGAAATTCTATAGCAATACATATCTTTTGAGTATTATTTCACATGTTATTTGTCGATAAATATATGTCGAATAAATGAGTTAAAAAGTTAATTAGGTTTGGCATAACCGTTTAGATCACCGCGCGCGCGTTGTGTCCTTCCTCAATGCGTTTACAATATTTAATTCGTTTCAACGAATAAACAAAGCGAAAAGCAAATACATGATTACTAAAACTTGACATTAGCTTTCTAGCTAGATTTTATTTCACAAATTAATTTTGTTAGAATATTAATTTGTAGTGAGCACAAGCACGGAGAATTATTAATAAGAGAATTATAAATTATTAAATCGCGCAGCTCTAAAACTTACTTTTCAATTGTTATATACTTTTCCATTTCGATTAAATTGTTAAATGTCAACTGATATAATGACCGTTAATTGAAAACTGTCGACTAGAATTTTCGCAAATGTAGTCGTTATATCAACAAATCAATTTTCGAATGTAATGTAAGATCGTCTTATATAATATTATATTCAAGTAAAGAAAATACAAATGTATACACCTGTAAATATGTATGTCTTTATTTAACAAAAATATAAATATGTTGAATTGTTCAGTTATTGAAAAATAGTAACTCATTGTAATGAATTGTGGAACACCAAAAATGCATTGAAAGGATAATCGTAGAATCTAACATTAAAATTGAAAAAATCATGAAAACTTAAATGCAGAACAAATTGAATTTCGATCCTTAATATGAATATAACGATATTGCATATTAAGTACAAATACACTCGACATTATAAGAAATAAAGAATTTATTTCAAATCGAAGTATTTCGGCAATCACATACACAGTTGATGTTCGTCGAAGGCGAAGGTTAAGGCGAGATCCGATGAAGTCAAAGGTGCATTTTGATTCCGAATTTCTGCATTTGCTGCATATCGTATCACGTGCATACGAGATGTCAGTCGCGGAACAGCCGCGACTAATCCCAAGTGTCGTTTTCCGCGAAGGCCTTCTTGTCGGCCGCGCCGCTCGCCGCTTGATCCTTGCGTTTCTTGCGCCTCTTGCCTGTACGCGACAAATCGGGATTGATGCAAAGTTACAAAATAAAGAGCGTGCATAATACCAACCTGTGGCAACTTTCCATCCGTCGTCGTCGTCGTCGTCGTCAACAACTGTCTTCGCGCCGTTGGCAGCCGATTTCTCATCATCCTTGACGGCCGTGTTCCTGCGGACGATAATAGTCTCCTTTCTTATATCACGCGAGCAAGAATGTATTCTATTAGCGAGAGGTAAGTATGATGACTGGGCATTTCGCGATGAATGCATTTTCATAATTAGTCAATTTATAGACTCCGGCAGTCGTGCAATGTAAGAGAGCCCGTAGTCTCATTCACGACGACTGTACCGTTTCTTTTTACTGCAATCGGCTGTATTTAACGAGAGAGTACGCGCACACGTGCATCGCGTGTGCGCGCGCGCGCACACGTGATGCTGCATATTCATAAGTTGTCAAGTTGCTCGCAGCAACAGTTCCGCAAAAGCAGCCCCAATGCGCACGAGTGAATTCCTTCGAGCGTAATGTACGATAATGCCAATAAACAACTGCGAGCGATCGACCGGCTCAACTCTCTCTTTTGCGATTGCATCTACCGCGCACGGGTGTCTGGCTCCCTCATCGATATGATTATCTCTGTTAAATTTAAATTTAACCTCACGCTCGTACTTATTTCGCTCTTAATTGCAAACTTAATGAAATATTATTGATAATTAAAAGACGACGAGTCCACGAGATACATTTTGGACTTCTACAACACTTTTGTTCAAATGACTCGATTAAATTTTTATCCGCTCGATAATTTACAGCATTGCGGCTTTTACTGAATATTCTTATTCGTCTGCAAAGCAAAGACCCTTTCTTATATATTGTAATAATATATAAGTCAAATGGCCTTTTTTCATAACATTTTATTTTAATAATTGATTAATAATTGATCCCGATTCAATGCAAATTCTGTATCCTCAACGACTATGCTATTATACCCAAAAATATCAGTATAAAAATATAAGTATCATTTGTCTCAGGGACTTATTATCATCCGACATTCGCCGTTTGCGCGTACGTAACATGAAAACGGGGAGAATTACGAGCGCGGTGATTGCGAGCACGTGGGCGATTCATTAATATCTTGTTGCCCGCGAGACTAATCAATGTTGTAACTACAATGCGGTCGGGACTATTTAGTTGACTGCAAAACAAAACGTATACGTGCTCCGTGCAGTGAACGAAGACCGCAGCTAACGACAGTTGACCGGAACATGCGCCTGGCGTATTGATTACTGCGGCCGCAGTACCTCGTTAAAGACTTTCTCGTAGACGCCACTTTAAACGCACGATTAGCTACTTATTGCTGCTGGGAAATATGTGTACACTTTGGCATCGAAAATATCTGCGCATCGATCATGAGCAGATTTTTTTTCCGAACAAACGCAAAGATTTTCTCGCGAATTGATATGATTTTGATATTCAACAATACTCTTTCAAGTTTTTCATTAATCAATTTCCAATAAACTGTTGATGAATTCAGCATTACATATAACATGTATAACATATATAACATGAAACTTCGAAAAAGTAAGAACGCGATCGCAGGGTGACAAAAACATTCTTTGTATTATTGTGATCTTTAGATAAAATGAGACAAAAACGAAATAAAAATTTCAAGTGACACGGACTTGACGTTTACACGTTATTCAATACTGCGTTCGTAGAAGATATCAGTCACTCATACGATGACGATACTTTGCAAACCGGACCAGAGGGCAAAAGAAGGAGGAAGAGAAGATGGTGCAGGGCGGTACGAGAGGAAGCGGAAGGGGAAAGGGAGAAGGAGAAGAGCAAGAAGACAAGATAAGCCTGTAGCAAGCGTCGCGTGCATTAATTCAGAACAAGGTCTACAGCCCTATGCAAATCTCTCGTGTACAGGAAATCCTAGCAGAGGCCGCCTAGGGTCTTATCCCCGTCTCACTCCCTCCTTCGTCTTGGAATCATACCGGACCCATAACGCGTTATTCATCCTTCCGTTTAATATATCTCGCACGAACGTGATAGCTTACGGCAGAAAATAAATTGCGATGAAGACTATTCATTTTTCACGAACGCGTACAATTTTCAAGATTGCAATGTAGCGTGCAAATATATATATCCATATCGCGAAAGCTTTACACGATTCGTGCGTATTCATGTAAATTATGCTCCTTGCTAAGTCACTCGTTTACGGACAAAGTTAACCGAGACTGTGTTAAGCTTCGAATTGATTTCAATTGATAGATTTAGAGGAATTATTTTAGAGAATGTATAAAGTCCAAAATCGAAAAATTAACTAGTTTTCACAAAAGCAGCCTAAAAGAATCGCGACGCGCGGAGCGTTTTGTTGAAAATTTATAACGTCAACAACTTACTCAGGTGATGACAACTTCCGCTTGCGATCCTCAACAGAAACATTAGTCTGCAAAGTAGCTTGATACTTTGAATACGTTTGTATATTGAAGACAGAATTCGTAGCTTGCTTGGTTAAACTCTTCACCGCGCTGCCAACCTGCTCGCGACGATATAAACCTACGTACGCAGACGTATCTGATAACCACGAAATATATCCACCTCCTGTGAAAAAGATTCTTGTTTATTAACAAATACGCTAATAATATTGTTTATATAATACAATACTCACCAAATGGACTAAAAAGTTGGCTTATATCTGCGTGTTTCCACTCCTTAGGGAATGTTAAGTGAAATACGTGATCTCTACTAGGATTTGCTGGAAAAGAAAAATAAACATATTACTCATCATTATATGAGGATAATACATTTTCCCTTCTGATTTTAATTATTTTACTGCAATATATTTTTATATAAAGATACAGGTATTGTAATAATATTCTACTACCATACTTACGATCTTTTCCTACTAAATTCACATATGGGAAATCCTTCAATCTTGCTATAGGCAGTCTGTAAAATAAATTTATATTAGAAATAAATCGATGAGAAGAATGAGATCTTAATAAAAATACAAAACATTGTTACTTACTTGTTAAGAAAAGGATTCAACAAAGGAGAATTTGCTAATACTGTGGCGTTTTCAGATTTCTGCAGTGTGCCTAAAAATCCAAGTAACGATTTAACATATATTTACTGACAAAAATTATGCGATCATTTACTATAATAACGATAATAAATTAATATATTTAATTTATCTGTGTAATAAATTAAAATAAAAATATAGACTTTTTATTGTATCAAAAAATATACTTAATTATTTAGAGGAATAGATAAATACAATCAAAACAAGTACAATCTATTATAATTTTGCTATTTTTACTTCATGTACTACTGACCTAGATAATTGGATAATGCAATAAAGCATAATCCAGTGATGTACGCATCGTACCCAGCTTCATGTGATTTCTCTGTCGATACCGAATAACTACGTCCTTCTATAGGCTCCACATCAGGAATAGAGAAAGGTGACTTGCTCACAATGTCTAATAATACGTTCAAATTTGACGATGACACACGTTCTTTAAAGTTCTGCGATTGACAGATGACTTTTGTATCCAATAAACTTAAAGAAAATTATGAAAGATAAAGTAAGAATTTACAATAAATTTTATTTTTAAAACTTAAAAACCACAGTAAATAACATTTAAAATTGGAATGTTTGGTTTAAGCGAAAACACAATCATTTGCAACTTACTTAGGAAATAAATCATGAATCAAATTCTTAAAATCCAGATAGTCCCTTGGCAAAGGCGTAAAAAATTGATGCACAATATGACATAGATCCAACAGCATATTGTGACCCACCAATATCTTTCCCTAAAATTGAAGTATGATTACTTACATTGTAAGAAAACATTGCACACAAAATGAAGCGGTAACTCTATCTGCTTCAAACATTTCTGAAAAAATATTAATGTAAGAAAATGTTACTTATACAAAAATTTCATTATTTCAAGAACAATGATATGATGATGATAATTTCTTTGTGAATAGATACGTATACACTTACAGATTCTACAATTTTCTTCAAAAGAGTGCTGAGTCCTACAGCTCGTCTAATTTCTAGCTTCTCCTTCTCGCGTCTTTGATTTTCCTTTTCTTCTTCTTCCTCCTTGGAACCTGCCTTCTGTACTAAAAGGCAGTGCCAAGTGTTTTCAACTTTACTTTCAACTCTCACTTTATTAGGCCATCTGCTTCTTGCCTCTTGATATATTAGTCTTCTCATAAATGCATTACACTTATCTATTGTTAATTCTTTTTCATTTGATGCAAGAAAAGCTTCTATCTTAGAACTGAAATTGCAACAATATTTACTATAAGTCATGTTTTAAATTTTGTATACTTTGTTAAAACTAAAAAATAAAAACAAGAGTACCATATTTCCTCTACTTGAGGCTTGTCAGTGTCTGATATTGGAATGACGTCATAATTGTTGTCTTCTCTAATCTTTTGTTTTTCTTCCAACCGTTTAATAAGTTTCTCTTCTTCATTCGCACTGAGAAATGGTATGCCGTGTTTGAAAAGCTTGTTGAAATCAAAGTCCTGATTTGCAAGAAAGGCTATGGAGGATGCCTGACACATAAATCTGCAATCTGCCTGACGATTCATTGGTTTGGGAAACACATAAAAATTATAAGATCGTTGAGAGTACCTAAAACAAAAAAAAGCATTGTTTCTCATTTATTTTTTGATTACATGTTTTTTTTAATGTCTCTATTCTGAAGCTTAATGAAATTATTAGTATATAAAATTGAGCAACAATATCTTACTTGTCTGTTTGTGGGTCATATGTAAAAACGGATAAACCAAACTGCACAAGAAGAAAATCCATAGACCCTGCCCGGAGCTTAGCATAATACTGAGCTGGCGTATCAAAGGGACCAGCTTCTGGACCTGAATTGAGGCCGGTGAATTCACCGTCGACGCTGAGAAAAGTAGCATTCTGTAAGACATCATCCAATTCCGACAGCACCTCTTGAAAATCTACGAAGATTGTATTAAATTGAGAAAAAACAAATGATACTTCACAAACTTTATCATCTCATTTGTATGAGCAAAGAGATAATTCAGAGTTGTTTCACATACGCTTACATACTTACTCGAGCAAGTTACTTCCATTGTTTATATTACTTCGTTAATGTGCATTAATGCACACACATGATTTAATGTAAAACCACAAATTCACGTAACCTGTACGCGTGTTTCGTTACACTGTTACTGCTGACGAGTGTGCCAGTGCACGAGTAACCGTGGAAATGAAAAGTACGAGCACGACGCGAACCAACAACTCTAAAATTTCGTAACCATTAATAGGGCCCGGAGGTAATTGAAGAGTAATGATATTACCGACTATTTTTATCTAATACATAAAGTTGTTTTATCCGACATAAGTAGCCCATGTTCATTTCATATACGTTTCCTAAACGTGCATGAATCAGTGTTGCTAGACGGGACGCTTTTTTTCACGAACGCACTTGAGAATCGGCCTCAACGGTGTACTAATTGAGGAAAAAAAGGGCACTTGTAGACCCTTCTATTAAAAAATTATTAGAAAATTTTGTTTATCGTTAAAAAGTGATAAAAAGTAATAAAATAATAATAAATTAAACGCATGTAAATATTATGTTTATTTTTATAATAATAAAATAATTAATAATATTAATAAAAAATAAGCTAAAAAAGGAAAGGATGTTTAAATAATTGTTAATAACATTTTAATAACAATAAAATATTTTATTTGGCAGAATTATTTTCCCGCTTTGCAAGAACTTCTTTAATAATATTGGTGCACTTTGATCGAGCCAGTGAAAGATCTTGCACGATTGAAGAATCTATACAAATGTCTTTTAACAAAGGAACTAAGTGATCTGCGGTATAAAGAGCAACGTTATGTTCAGAATAAAAACTGCTAATTTAATTTTGGCTCGTTTAACGTTTTCAATATGAGAATTTTTGGAATGTTGGCTTTGGCTTTGTACTTATTTGAGAATTACTGTCACAATTTTAATATGTTTAGCCCTTTGTGAATGTCGTATTAAATCTGATTTACAGCATCTAATGGTAATATTGCACAAGTTACAAATTGCCTTATTTTCCGTAGGATGAGGAGCCAGCCATCTTTTAAATAAATCGTCAGCTAACCAAGAATTTTGAAAATTTTTAATATGCGTCTTTTTAATGGCTCCTTTTGAACTATCCATATTTCGCGTAACAAAAAATACATATAAATATATATATGATATAAATATTATTATTTTTTACATGTACTCACCTAACTTTCTCCTGTAGCCTGTCAAACGTCTAACTTTTCGCGCCAGCACCCAACACTATAAGCCGTATACACCGCTGGATTCATAGCTGCAGCGCTGCGCATGCGCGAGAAAAAGCGTCCCGTCTAGCAACACTGCCTGGGATATAAATAATTAACTTATAAACCATTTAAATATTATTTGTCAAACTTTCAATAGTATTGCTTTATCATTTAAAATTTCGTTTAAGTTCAAGTTCTTTATTCCTATGAAAAAATGTAAATTCTCATAAGCAATGGCTATCTTATTTCATATCTTACAATCTTATACTTGTTTACATGGTTTTTTTCTATATTTTGGAGAAATGTCTTATGAGATCATTGAATAAGTTTACATTGAATAAGTAGCAGTTCTCTGATATTTAAGTGTTAATTCTTGAAATATAAAAATTATATTTTCAACAGTTTGCAATATTTGACTTCGTGGTAGATCTAATACGTTTTCTGCATTATCTGTACGTATATATATTCCACTGTAGTAAGTAAATTACATGTATATACACATACCTTTTATTAAAATGTATTTGGCAGGCCGAGATGTTATTTCATATTGAATATCTTGTTGAATTCTTGTTAAATTACAACTTTAAACTGCAAATAATTAAATAGTTCAATGTTTAAACATTTTTATTCAAAAACTTAGAGTTTTAAAACTATAATTTAAGATAAACCCAAAACAACTTTCAAGTAATGAAATTATTTAATACAAAAATTACTTATATTTAAATTAAAACAATAATAATGTAACATGTATGAAATACAATATTATTATTATATTGCAATGTCATTATTAAAGCATATTCATTTTATTTTTCTCATGCAGTGTCATTATTTTTCAAATTTGTAAATCTGTTCTACTAGAAATCTTACCATACTGTTACAAATTATTAATTCCTTGATCGCTATATTTTGGCCGCATATACTTGTTTAATGATATTGTGTTTTCTGTAAGTTGTACAATGGACTGCCTGGATGACTCAGCCGCGTCAAATAAAAATCCCAAATTTGTTGAAAAATCATGTCATGTACCTGAATTAGGATTCTTCATTAGTGGTATATACATAATGATCATTATTTAATTCGGAAAATGAAAAATTATATAATAATTCATACCTTATTTTGTAATAATAGCTCTGAGAACAAAATTAAAGGATTATTTCGAAGAAGTCACAGTTCAATGCGTGGACTGCCCCGATCTGACTCAACCGCCTTATCGTTTCGTTGCACCAGGTAAGTGTTTCAAGCGTTTCTAATTTTTTGTGCATTAAAAACGCAATATCATCGCATTATATTTACAGGATTATGCGGCAATACGGGACAGTTGATTACCGGTAAATTTGCAACTATGTATCCTTTGCCGCAAAGCGAGAAAATATACAATTTCAAAAAGATCTTAAGAAAAATAAAACGCAATAAGAATACTTTTCTTCTTGGATCAAGTCTGTGCTTCTCAATGGCACCACAGGAAGTTATGTGCACGGTAAATATTATTGATGCATTCATACATATCAGGACAAATTCATTATACTATTTTATTATTAATTTGTTTTAAACTTTGATAATTTCCGTGAATTTTAATTATACTTTAATCTTCAATTTTATTATTGTATTTTTTTCATCAATGCTATTACTGCACAGGTCTTCATAAACTTGTTATTCTCGCCAAAAGACGAAGAGATAAATGTAACGAATGAAAGTCGCGGCGCATTTGTGTTTCTGGAAAAGGATGACTCGACTTGGTTCCGTGAGCGTCGAAGTATAAACGATGTCATAGGTTATAAATCAAGAAGTGATAATCGCACACGTGATGAAAGAAAAACTCGGGAAAAGCTGTCTTTAGTATATGCTTTGGATCCCATATACGAACAAAATTATACATTTTCGTCATGTATTATAAACAATCCTGATCCTGAATGCGTTATGTGTGGCATGTGCTTTATTAGCGAAGGCCAACCAGGGCAAGTTCTAAAAATCCACGTCAAAAAATGCATCAATAAACTCGGTTTCACAGCAGCGTTACACCAATCACTTAGAGAAATAAAAGGACTCATAAATTCTCCTCTCGGTAGGACATTACAATTCTTTACAGTAAAAAAAAAACACGAATAAAAAGATACACGAGGTAATCAAATAAATGAATTTTCTATGTCTAATCTTGTAGGATTGGGTGGCACGTTTGTGATGTCGGGCGGAAATGTTACAACTGCAATAATGCCAAAATTTCCGCCTAATCCATTAGATAATGTAGAGATCATTGAAGCAAACTTTTATCGGAAGAATGTAGCCACGGAGTCTTTAGTAGTTGCTGGTGCAGTAACTAGCGAATACAATCCATATCTTACTTTCTGCACTTTCAATCAATATGAGGCATGCGGGATGTTTGACGAGAAGAATAGCAAGGATGTGACAGAATATTTGGGATATTTTTCTCTGATAGAAAACATCTATGAGTTTTGGCACGAACCGACTGATCAATTTATACTAGAAAATATTGATGTAAATTTACAAGCTCGTTGTCCTGACATGTGACATTCTTACATACTCGCAAACTTTGCATATTTTAATTATTATCTTTAAATAATTTGCTTTATATTTTTTTGTATTTTTTTTTATTTTGCAATTATTATATGTATCTTTTACTCTCAACAATAAAACAATATTTTTGACTTTATACATTAATTGATATTGGTAGCTTTTGATCTCTTAATATTTGTCAAAATTATTATACAGTTAGGTCATTAATTTTTTAAATAAAATAAATAAGTAAAATTATTTTTTCTAATTCGTTAAAATTTACAATTCGATAAAAAAAAGATTTTTTAGATGTTTTTTCGAAAAAATTGTCAAGTCAAACATATTATAAACGTATTGCCAAGTAAAACATATATTATAAAACATTATAACGTATAATAAACTCTGTATCTCTTTAGTTATTCTGTAACATATTTAAAGCCCATCAAAATCGGGACAGTAGCATCACTTTCCTTACTAGATAGAGTTCGTTATATATAATATCCTTAGAATATATAATGATTTAAAATACTAGATTTCTTGTTTTGTGTGTGTAGTTTCTTAAACAACAAAGTAATCCTCTTTTACTTAACGATTTAGTAGACTTATGACCTTTTCAGCTATCGTCTGATATTAAAGTAACAAACCTGTGAACCAATTTACAATAATCAACTAATCATAAATACTAAAATATTAACTTAATATTATACGATGCATTTGTGCTTTTCTAGTAATTTTAAAATTATCTCAGATTTGCCATTCTAAAGTGATTTTAGAGTTTAGAGTGACAAGATATTAACAACGTTTATTATATTTAAGATATACAAGAAGCTCCTTCAACAATGTACTTTCTTAAGTTATAATAAAATATAGAGTTAAACACAGAATTCTCTTAATATAGTATACTCACACAGTTATCAAATGCATTTTTAAAAACAGATACTTATAAATATGTATATACGTCAATAATAAATAACTTAAATAACTTTTTAAAAAAATACATAGAATACAAAATATTTTTTTAGAAAATATGGCAATTGCATTACAATAACTGGCAACAATCTCATTAATATTTACGGTACAAAAGATTGATATATAGAACAAAAAAATATTCGCGTAGAGCATTGTGCATACATATGCTATCTGAAAGAAACATTTCTAGCAATCACAAAGTGCATATGTACATGCCATCTTAACCTATAAATTTCGCAAACCGAGCTGACAGCATCTATTTCGCGTTGTTATGTTAAGTATCGAAAGGATTAATTTTGTTTTTGTAATTAATTGATAATATCTTTCAAATTAATTACCTGAAATAAATGATTCTGGCCTTATAAAACGTGCTAAATTCTTTCTTTTCATATGATACTTGTTCACTGCACTTTTCCATGATTGACAATCCTGATAATCGATCCATGCGCACGTGATCTCCCGAAAGATTCCGACGTAGGCGACCGGTGGCTACTGCCACGCGATCTATGCAGGTGATTCAGGTCATTGCCTTTTCCATATGACTTGATTGATCAATCTAGGTCAACTATTAATAGCACCTCCGCATTCCACGCATTTCACGCGGCGCATCATCAGTCTATTTATAGACGGCGCACGTGCCGAATTTTCAAAACGCTGTAATTCAGCGAAAAATTGACGACAATTAATTTCGCGAAATTTTAATTAACTGAAATGAATTACTATCTTAAACAATGCTAATAAATCTGAAGATTTTGAGGATAAAACGATAAAAAATATGATAATAATTTATCTGTCGAAATTAAAATTATTTTCTAATGAATTTTGTAACGTAAAAAATATTTCGTGTTGTGTTAATTGTACAGAAAGCAAGATTTACCGTAGCGTTTAGGGGTTGTTTACGTCACGCTGTTTACGCATTCCATTCTTTCACTATCTCTTTCTATCCAGCTATTATATATTATCCTACTTCGCATTACCCATGTATCTCTTCTGCGCATGTTGCCTAAGTCTTTGCAAGTCCTTCAAATATCCTGTGGTATTTTGCCCCTTATTAGTCGCACGCGGCACTCGTACGGGTTCGCACATCGAGCTATCTCTTCCCCTATCACTCACTATTTTCCCTTACAGTTTTCCGCCTTCCTCTCCCTTTTCCATCATTACCTGTTACGTACATATTGTTCGGCGCAGAGTGCCGAACGCGTATTCCGTGCGACTTCGATATCCGAGTTATATCTTTGTCCTCACGACAAAATCGCGTCGGGAGTGTGTAAAATATCGTGTCATAAAATCGTAATAAAATGCGTAATAAAAATCGGGAGTGCCGTTTAAAGGGTCGCGCGACTTTTGTATTTAAAAACGCACGCGTACAATGCGTGTAAGTGTTTAAAAGAATTATCGTGAAAATTATTCGCGTTGCGATCGCGTGTGAGTGTTTTGAAAAACTGCGAGGGCTGCGAAAACTGTGAGGACTGAGAGGAGGAGGAGGCTCAGAAGGAGCATCGGGCACCGGCGGAGCAACTTTACGGTAAATAATAATTCATTCATTTGTTGAAAATGTTGTAAATATTCATTATTTTGAACGCAACTATAATCTTGATTTATTTTCGTATTTTACAGATCATCAAATAAGCCGATCAACAGAACGACAATTCCGCTGCTGCGCATCGATTGGTGAGTTAGTTTAATTTGTCTTTTATTGTTGAGATAGTGGATCAAACAATAGTGTAAAAATATACATACTTTCGAGACACTTTGCAAACCTTATAGTAATTATATCAAAATTTTTCTCAATTCTCTAATTCAATATTCTCACGTTTTTTTTTTTTTTTTTTATTTTGAGTTGTACGTACATTTATTTTTAAAAAACGAAGTACTTGTTCTTTTAATTATATAATTTTATATTAGATTATAATTATAAAAATCATTAGAAAATATGTAACCTGCAAAATGCGTTGTATATTTATATATTTTTATATATTTTTTTATACAAGAAAAAATATAGAAGAAAAGAAATATTAAAAAAAAAAAGATTATACATAAATTAAAAAAAAATTATTAATACACGGAAAAAAAGAATTTGCTGCCGCTAATATATTTAATATGCAACGATTATTTTATCGCAATAGCAAAATTCTTTTTTTGTGTAAATGTGTACTTTTATTTCTTCCTTCCCTACGGTAAGTGATTTACTTTTTTATATCTTTTCAGGGTTAAATATTATACAAATTAGCGTTGAAAAGCAAAAGCAAGAAAATGTTTAATACATATGGACGATTGAATAATGGTCGACTATCAACACAAATTTCGGACGCAACTAGCGGAAACTGAGCCGAGCTCTGCACTAGCGTTCCACGAGAAACTCCCGAACGGTCGCGCGTAAAACTCCCTCTCGGATTTTGGATGCAATTAGCGGTAACTGAGCTGAGCTCTGCGCTAAGCATCCCGCGAAAAACTCCCGAACGGTCGCGCGTAAAATTCCCTCTCGGATTTCAGATGCAAATAGCGGTAACTGAGCTGAGCTCTGTGCTAAGCATCCCGCGAAAAAACCCCAAACTGTTCCGTGAAAAATTCTCAAACGTTCTTGCAAAAAAATTCCCCCTCGAATTTCTTTCTTAGAGAAATATAATTTGCACACACGAGTGCGTAACGCGAAATAAAACCTAATTTTTTTTACGTAATTTTCCTATTAGACAGATTTTTTTATTGAGTAAAATTTTCTATTAGGTAGAATTTCAGGTTAGATAAAATTTAAAAAATTTTTTTAAATTCTATATCCTTTCTAATTCTTTACATCAACAAACTCTGAAACTTCTTTAGCAAATAGTTTGCAATTTGTTGATGACGAAGATAATGACAAAACTTCGGGTGGGCAAACAGTAAAATTTTCTTTCGAAAAACGAAATTTATATAATAAATAAATACTTTCTAGATTTTTATTAAACGTTTTTATTTTTTCAGGTGTAATTTGTCAGGTATGATTTTTCAGACTTTTATTTAATGTTTCTTTATCTTTTATATTTATATATTTTATATGTATATGTATATCTAATTAATGCTTTTAAAAGTTTCTTAACATGCTGTTTGATGACTTCATGAAAATTTTAATTTTCTATCTATATTTATTTTTAGATTTTAACTTAATATTTTAATTTATCAGATTTTAAATAATTTTATTTTTTTAATTTTTATATAGTGTTTTTATATCTTTTATATTTGTATATTTTATATGTTTACATCTTTTTAATGTTTCTAAGGTATTTTATTCATTGTTATTCTTTGCTATTTTCTCTATATTTATAATTTATTTATTTTTTTGTAATATATATATGTATACAATATTGTACATATAATATTGTAATATAATAAAAAAATATATGTATACATATTTGAAAAAAAAGGACAAAATGACTTACTATGCAAAGTGTATTGTACATGTATTAATCAGCAATTATTAGTGCTTTGATATAGCTATCTTCTATCACTTTCTACCAACAAGAAAAATAACGTAAATTTGTAGAAAAAAATCATATGTATTAAAATCGTATTATATATCGATTTAAAATACTAGGTATTTACACAATATACAGATACATGCACAATTATCAATTATTACATGTTAAATTAAGTAGTGTTCATTAACTCTTCATCTTGTTGGATTTTAATATTGTCTTCTATTACTATTGTTCCAACATGATTCACGGTAACATACAAGTATGTATATTCATAATTGCCAGATTTATTCTGTAATCA